AACATGTAATGACAGTAAGTTTCCAACACTCAGCTACTCTCCACCAACGAAGATGGAACTTTTTATTCTGAAAATTGTGAACATATGAACTGCTATTCCCACTAGATTTCATTTCTCTCAAAATCTTGCCTCCACTAATGGGCAATAGCATATGCTATAGAGAAGACTACGAGAGTAAACATGCAGTGATGCTTCCCAGTACAGTCATCAACAACTTGTAGCTCAGAGACCTCCCAAGCAGAAGTATTATCTTCTTTAAAAGGAATCTCTGATGGATTTTTGTAGCATTTGGAATAGACACATACAGAAAAGAAAGTCTAGAGCTGCTTGATCCACAGAGGCTGTCACTAATCACCACAAACACCACCTGCTTTTAAGCTAGCACGCAGTAAGGTTTTTCTGACACTTGCTCGCTCCTTCTATCAGAAGGTTGCTCTGTGATCTTACTGCTCCAGTTAAAACCACTCCTGTCTACCACCAGTATCACAAGAACTGATCGGGAAAAATTTTCACATCAGCTGTTAGAGGTGAGAGATGTTACTCTAAATAAAGTGCCTGTGAAAACCTGGCATCAGGTGAGAACCAAGAAGGCTCCCAATAGGATCCTGCTTTGTTTCCTTCCCACTCACCTGGAGGCCTGATGAACTGCTCACCCGAAGCTACGATTTCCAAAGAAAAAGAAAAACAGAGAGCAAGCAGTCACAACTCAACATGGGAATTTCAGCAGGAAATACACATCTATACCCAACTTAATGATAGTAAGAGCCTTGAAGGTGCAGAATTGTAACAGTCAAGGAAAAATAATAATGCATTTAGAAAAGCTGATGAGAAAAATAAAGTCAGGAGGAAAAAAAACAAGCAATCTCATCTACAGAGAAACTATTTCCAGTGAAGAGGTGGTACCTGCACCAGCCTGTCTCTTCAGGATGACAGCAATGCCTCCCCCCTGATTCCTCACTTAGTAAACACCTTCCTTCAGCAAGGACACTCAAAAAGGAGAGACTCTCCGTAAGAAATTCAAGGGAATGAGGGAAAAAAGTACTGAAGTGAAACGAATCATTTGACGATGTCCATAGGAAAGTTTTCCAGGGATATCTGATTATTGTACAATAATCTCCATGGGAAGCATTAAAGCCCCTGAAAGCATGAGAAACACAAAATCATGCCAGAGAGTAATGAAAATAAACTCCAAGCTTTTCTGCTCTGGTCTCCAAGGGCAGCTATCTGATCTTTCACATGTGCCATAAGGCAAGGTACTGCTCCATCTAAATGCTAGGAAGTCAGCTGAGACAATTTCTACATAGATTTCAACTTCCCAAAGGAAAAGCATTTCTTTGGTTAGTACACACACATACTGGCTTGCAAGTTCAAACCCTCATTATAAAAAGGCACAACAGCAAACACGATAGCTCCGCACTACTGTACAACCTTCCCTCCTATACCACCTACTTCCCACCTGCCTGACGATACCCTGTCAAGGTGTCCCGGCCACCCCAGCAGCCCTGAACACTCCTTTCCTGATACAATACAACATGCACTATCTTCCTTCCTTCGAGATTCTTCCTTAAAGAGGCGTACAGCTGCAGCCCCAGTTACAGCAGATGTTCCCTCAGAGATCCAAATTAACACACAGACAACTTTTTCAACAGAGCAGTAATTCACAGGCGAAAGAGCTACTTTCCAAGAAGCTCACTCACCTACCAGCACAACTTCCAAAAAGAGGAAAATCAGTTCAACACTAAGATGCTCCATACAGGGCCTTTTTAGTACTTCCTTGCTGTTCCTCATATTGATACTACTGACCATTAGCAGGCAGACATATGCACTACATAACTGTTCAATTTAACCATGAATATGAATAAGCCCTAAATAGTAAAACATAGTTTTATTAGTTTGCATACCCAACTGAAAAATAACTAAAACCCATACTGCTACGCAAATCCTTCTGGGAGTCCAGGGAAAGAAAACTAGACTCACAAATAAGCTGCCCAATAATATACATTAATTGGTTATAACAATTCATGTATTAGGTCAGAGCCCCTTTAAAGGGCAATTTAGGGCATATTCTCTTGAAATGTTAAGAAATATGAATTAAAACTATTCTCCCCTGTAGCAGGACTTTAATTACCACATGCCAAAAATGTCGTACTGCTCTCCCTCTTCTAACAATTCCTGTAACACTATTCTGAATAAAGACAAATCTACCACAAAAAATAATAAAGCTCTACAATCACTTTTTCAGTTACATGGTTTGGGGTTTTTTTTCCATGTTCCCTGGTCCTTCGAATCTGAATGGGCATTGAGAAGATCCTTTTAAGCCACATCAGTTCACACAATCACCCTTCACACACAGCACTAGGAACTAATTTGCAGGAAGTCCTTCAACTGAAGATTAGAATAAACAGCAATGTTTGTCTTGAGCTGATACTTTTGTCTGCCAATCATGTATGTATTTTAAGACAAATCCTAATGCTAAATGAGCACAGACCTTGCAATTTTTCCTGTAGCATTCTTTTTACTAGAATATGTTTAGAGACCTTATATCTAAATCGGTACTTGTCTTTTTTAAGTTTTCTTGTGTGCAACAAAGGGTGCAACAAATGAGTTCCTCCTTGGTTTTAAGAGCTAGATTTCTGTACTATGGCCTTTGACATATTTTAGTGCCTACAGTACTTCTGTAAAGATATTATTAAACATGATTATTAAAATAACAATACCTGGCAAATAAGCAAATTAAGTACACTGCAGAATGTGTTCTTTCTTTTCCTAAATTGCTCAGTTTTCCATTGGCTTACAAAATTCAGCAGCCTGCTGTACCAGTAATTACCATGAACTGGAGCTTCTTTCAAGTACAACTATGCAGAAACTAAATGTGCCAGGATGATACACAGTCTTCCACCTAATACTAGCTAATTTAATTCCTGTTAGCTTTTCATTCATATTAGCTTCTGGCCTACTGGATTCATACACTCCATAGAAACCACATGCAATAGCTCAGATCCCTCTTTTTAATAAGGCGCAAAACATTACTCAGCTCCCCCGAAGATACTAATATGCAATCATACACCTTTCTATCAATGTCCTGGAAATAGCAACATCTTTGTTTAACAGACAAGAAAACTCCTGTACCTGTAACCCCAGTATAGTGTGGGTTTCCCCCATCACTCTTTGCAATGCTTAAAAACTTAAGAGGTGTACTCCACATTATCTTTGGAACTCGTTCCAAGCAAATCAGTTTAACAATATAGGATTCACTTACTCATCATCCGTAATCACTCATTTTAATTACAAGCTTTTAATGTGACTTGCCACAATTATCAGTGTACTACAGAAAGGATCAGGAGCAGAACAGAAACAAAAAACCCGAGGGCAGATTTTTTCACATTAGGCAGCACCACCCCAGGATTTCTACCACATGGGCAGTTTTTAACAGTTCCAAGACAGGTAGATGTTGCACAATGATGACAGGTTCTTTGGCTTCAGTCCTGAAAACACATAACACAAGTACAGCTATTCCCTGTACAACTGTTCCCTGTTGTTAAGACTACTCAGGTAACACACTCATTGCTACCACTTGCAGACTTGATTCTATTCTACACTGAGGAGATGAGAAGGAACCAAATGGCACTTCCAAACACTGGATTCTACTGGGTATTCTTAAAAAACCTATCACATATTCATCATCACAGCCCTCTGTGAACTTGTGTCACTGCTGAACCTAGGATACTTTGAATGCATTTTACATGAAACCTGTATGTGCAACCTTTGTCTCATACTAACCAGTAGCAATTTTAAATGCTGAAGTTAAACATAAGAAATACCGAAATGTTTCTGTCCTCAAAGAACTCATCCGTTTTAAGGGAAAACCATCTGTAGTACTCTGTGAGAAACTACTTAAAAATTTATTTCAAACTTACTGTCATTTTCATGAAACACCCATTTTAAAATAGCCTGAAAGACACATCTGTTGATTAAAAATATACATTAGCATCACAGTGACTTAGAAAATGGATCGATGAGGACAAACATCAGCATCATCACCAGAATAAAAACAAAGAAAACCCTTAGGTGTCACTACACACATTTATCTGTTGTGATGCTCCAAGACTTGCACCGACTTCATAAAACTCAGCAGTTTAGCTGTACATCAACAAATACAGCTCACAGCCTGTTTCAGAGCAGAAAAACACGGGTTTGGGGTTGTTCTGCCGTACTGTGCTTTTCCCCAGAGGCTCTTTTCCTCTCCTCTGTGCGCTTCAACACAGGACACCGCTGCGCAGACCAGAGCAGCCCAAGGGGTGGACCCGTCAGCGAGCTCCACCGCGGGGCAGCAGCAGGGACCCCTCACACACCAGGAACCGGGGCACCTCCAGCCACAGCCGCGCCACTCTCCAACGCCTCTACGGTAGATCATCGACGTGAACCCACAGTTAACACTGAAACTGAAGCATTTACATACTGGTAAGTTGGCTTTTTCTTTTTAACCTCCACAGACGGTGCAGTGATGGAGTTCTCCGAACACCCGTGACCACGGGCACGGGCAGGCCCTGGCACGCACGCTGAGGCAAAATCCGTTCCTAAACGCCACCGACACAGCGGAACGCCCCTGCAAAACCCACCGTAATGGAGTCCTGACCCGGGCCGTTTCCCGCTGCAAGGGCAACCCGCACCACCTGACCCGGCAAGCCCGGGCCAACCTCGAGCCCCCACAGACCCAGCACAGCTTCCCCAGCGCCGGGGACGGCGGCGGGGAAGCACGACGGGAGCCAGGAGGGCTCCCGGCATCGGCCCGACCCGGCCCCGCGCACCCCGTGGGTGACACCGCGCTCCCGGCGGCCTGAAATGGAGGACGCTGGGCCGCGGCCAGCGCCACTCCCGCAGGTACGCACCTCGCCGGCCCCACCGCCGCGGGAGCCTTTCCTCCGCTCCCCGCCCTTACCGGTGCGGGGGAAGGAGCCCCGCCGGGCGCCCCGGGTCCTCTCCCCGCCCGTGGTACCTACCACCTCGGCCAGCTTGATCTTGCCGAAGGTGCCCCGCAGGTAGTCCAGGTCGCAGCGGAGGCCGCCGAGCCCCCGGCGCTGGCTGACGGGCTCCGTAGTGGGCTGGTAGGGACTGCTGGTCCCCGAGATCATAGAGGTGCTGGACGCCTCGCCATCGAAGCCCTCCAAGTCATCGCCGTTCCTCATGGTACCGGTGGGACAGGGGCCGGGGCCGCCGAGCTTCTGAGGGGATGGCCGCAGAGCTCCGGCCCGCTCCGAGCCGCGCCTCCCTTACCTAGCGGAGCGCCGGCTGCATGGCTATCCCCGTCCCCGCGTCAGGCGGAGCGGTGCGGGGACAGCGAGGGCAGCATGGTGCGGTGCGAGGAGGAGAGCTCCCTGCGCCCCGCCGCTCGGGGGCGCACTCTCCCCGCACAGGGGCTTAGAAGGAGCCGCCGTGCCCCGGGCCGCAGCGGCGCCTCCGGGCAGGACTGGAGCTGAGGCAGGCACCAGGGCACCGTTGTCGCCCGCACCCCGCGGTTCAGTCCGGTCCAGGCAGAGACAACTCTGCCCCGCTCCCCTCCGCTCCGACCGGGACCGCTGCCGCCGCCGCTCCTCCCCTTGCGCTCAGCGGAAAGGGCGGGGAGAGCCCGCCCCGCCGGGCGCGCCGACACCGGGCGGTGCCTCCACCGGCCAGCGCCCGCCCGCCCCTCCCCGCCCTGCGGCCGGCACCTGCCCCCCCCCCCGCCCCGCCCGGCGCAGGGACACTGCGCTCGGAGGGCGGCGGGGCTCGGCTGATGGCGCCCGGGGTGGTGGCTCTCGGGACGGCGTCAGCGCGGGTTTGGAAAGGCCGGCAGTGCGGGGGTCAGTGAGTATGGCTGCGGGAGCGGCTGGGAGAGCCGAGGCTGTGCTGCCTGGAGAAGAGAAGGTTCCGGGGGACCTTGCCGCAGCCTTTCGGTTCTTAAAATAAGCCTATAGGAAAGATAAGGAGAGACTGATTAGCAGGACCTATAGCAATAGGACGAGGGGTGATGGTTTTAAGCTAAAAGAGGGGAGGCTCAGGCTGGACATGAGGAAAGAATTCTTTACAATGATCCTGGCACCGTTGCCCAGAGAGGTGGTGGATGAACCATCCCTGGCGACATTCAAGGCCAGAGTGGATGTGGTTCTGGACAACCTGAGCCAGTTGAAGAAGCCCCTGCTCTTCTGGGGTTGGAACTGGATAAATTTTGAGGGTCCCTTCTGACCCAAACGATTCTGTGATACTGACATTTTAAAGTGTGGTCATAGCTCAGGATTAGTACCTTGAGACACCCAAAGCAGTTAACACCACTCAGGATTACACCTTGAAGCTGTTAGAATGCTGCAGCCACAGTATTTTGAACATTGGAAACCCCAGGGTATTCTTCCACAAGTGTTAGAAGAGTTCAAAGTGTAATTTTCAGTAGTGAATGGTTTGCTTTGACAGGGTCTGGACCTCTTTTGGGGGACACTTTTGTTGTGTCACCATAAATAAGGAGAAATCACAACATAATTTGGCAAACACAGGTGTGTCAAATGCAGCAGCAGAAGTTTTTACTTGAGGAGAGCCAGGCAGGCTGCTCTGCAACACCTCCCGAGTTGAAATTCAGGTGTTCGGTGTTGCATCCTGTGATGTACCAGCTTTATCTGCCAGATCCCAGCTCTTCTTTCATGGACAGTCTGCCCCATTTTCTCTTATTTCACATTACCAATACAGGACTTTCACATGCATTATTCTTCCAGCATCTTCCTCTGACCTCCAAGAGTCTTTCTTACTGGTACAGTTTTCCCTTTTCCATTAACACTATGGGTTATCAACCTTGGGGTTGATTTCCTTTCCAGTTATCTTTGTGTTTTGCTTCATTTCTCCCTTTCAGTTCCCTTGAAAACCCTTTAATCCTTCTTTTTGAGGGTTCTGCCCTGTACCATGCGAATTTTCATTTCAAGATATTTTTCTTCTTTAGCCAGTGTATAAATCAAACACAGGAAGCAAGGCCAAAGAGACAGACTCAGAGAGCACATCAGCAAAAGATTCAGGGGTTTAACTGGAGACACAGTTCAGAGCTTGCAGGCAAGAGAAAGCTTCTTAGCTTCACTGCTACACCCGGCTGCTGCAAGAGACCAATATTCTCCAGTGAGATGAAGAGTTTGGGAACATGCCTAAGAAAACACAGACATTGCCCTTTGGTGAAGAGCAAATGGCAGGCAAATGAAAACCTGAGCAGGGTGTGAAGGATGGTAACTCTTGCTTGGGTCACATGAAACTAACCTAACAATCCAAAACTATAAACAAAAGGGAAAAGTCCTGTGCTGGCACAGGACTGGCCATGATGGGCTGGCAGGTTTGCAGTCTTATTTCAGTTCTTGTATGACTCTGGGGAAACCAGAAGCCTCACAAAGGTCCTTTTCTTGCAGGAAAATCACATGTAGGTGATGGCCACTTCCAAGAGATTCTCTGGATTCTTTTTAACTGAAGGCTCCACAGCTCTTTGGGGATCACAGGTTACCCACATTCACCTATAGAGACATGTTTTGAGGGACTCCTGTGGCAGTTGTAGAAAATTATCCTGAGCAAAACAGTAACAACATTTTTGAAACGTGCTAGTATTTTGGTGTATCTTTTTCAGTTTCAACCGAAACACATCAGTATGTTGAAAGAGAATCAAAAGGTGGAATTGCAGAGGGCAAATGAAGGACAAAGGGAGAGATGACTGAATGATTTAAGAAGGTTGGCTAGGTGAGGTGGGGGACACAAAGTTGAAATGTATTTAAATCATTAGAGCATTTTGAGAATCTGATGCAGTATGGACTCCCTGCAACCCCGCTGTTAGTCCCAGTGCTAGCTGCCCAGGTAGTGGAGGCACAGCGTGTTCTTTCTGCTCTTGTTTGCAGTGTCACCTGAACAATTGTGATGCCTGTTTGCCCAGCGTCACAGACAGTGGTTTCACAGCCGTTCCAGGGCAACAGGACACGGGCATCAGCACCCATGGCCACTGTGCCCCTTCCAGCACAGAACTGCCAGCATCCCCCTCACTCCAAACAGCACCGCGCCAACCCCGAGCCATAGTGAGGGGTTTCTGGTGTCCTCCTGGATGGGTGGGTGGGCTGGAGAGACTTGGCAATGGCTCGTGAGGTTGCTGCCAGCATTTAACAAAGGAATCCCTACACACATTCTTGCCTGGAACAGCACCTTTTGAGCCTGCTCTGTAGCACTGGAAGAAAAGCAATTTCCAAGTTTAGTATGTAAATAAAAGTATTGATCCAGTAAAAAGGTCATTGTGTTCATCCAACACAAATCACACTGTTTTCAGATAACTTTGTTTTTAGAAGTTCATAAACTTTTCAAGCACAGCCTGCCACTGCAGACTAGGACAGTGGGGAACCAGTCAACGATCAGCACTGAAAACACCGCCACAGTTTCAAGCTAATCAGATTATTGAAGTCATCAGAGTGGGCTTCATATCCAGTATGACTGAACAGTGAAAGCAAGGAAGAAACAGCACAGAGGGGGAGGAAATCCAAGGAAATCCAAATATGCTATTCATAAACACTATAATTACATGATCCAAAATCAGTATTTTTTACAGAATGGCCAATTGAGCTTTGACAGAATTGAAAGTGCCCCATCAGAAAGAATCTTCATTTATAATGAAAGAATCTCCGTTTATCTCCACTGGTGATAAATGAAAACCAACTGGTGATGTAGTTGTAAAAAGCAGTAGAAAGAGAATCTTCAATATTATCACTCATCAAAGTGAACAAAATCACCCTCATCTCTCATGTTTAATCTCAGCCACTTACAGAGCCTTTAATAAACTTGTGAACTCCTTGTGGGTTCATTTCATTAAGCACATTTAAGTTTTATTTTCAAGATTAAAGTGTGTGATTCTATTGCAACTGGATAGGAATACTCACTTAAAAGCAGATTTTTAGAGCTGCATTAATGTTGTTTCAACACACTTAAAATAATCTAACGTTTATACATAAAATTTTGTCATCCTGAATGGAGCTTATTACAGACGGTGCTTAAGTGTAGTTAAGAGCATGAAAGGAATTAGAATCCTAACAGGAAAGTTACATCTGTGCAAGTACCTGAAAATTGCTCAGAGGTTCTTTAAGAAAATGCTCCAGTATTTCCACATGACCTACCAAGGGGAAGGAGCACTGGTATGCTGCCAAATTCCAAGAGAGCTGAGCAGTGATTAGAATTTAACTCTGGCATCAGAGAGGAGGTTTTTTCCCCCTTGAATTTCTCACTGTAAAAAACGCTGAAGCTTTTTCTCAACTTTTCATTTGGGATGAAAAAAACCCAAACCCTACTAAACCCCACCCTAAGAAGCTAATAAAGAACTCGCTTTAGGAAAACATCTGGTATCTTCAAGTGGCTTGAGTAAACTCTCCATTTTCACAGTGTGGCATGCACACTTTGATTCTGTAGCCATGAGCAACATGGGAAGCAGACAAATAATTCTGCTGAGTCAGAGTTAGGAATTAATGCAAGAGGAATAAGCTGTAAGTTCTGACATGGACTTCAAGCAGAAAGAAAACTGGACAGAATGATGGGGCATCATGCAGCCAGCTATCTATAACTGATAGAGGATAACTGAGGCTGAACAGTACAGCAGAATAGCAGTGCCGATTCCTACTTCCCCACATCCAGCCACAACTGAAGGAGCACATTGCAACCGCACATGGTAAGACCACTCAGCATAAAGACATCTAATTCTAACAAGCTGAATTCATATCATCCCATACTGGTTTGGGTTATAAGGGATCTTAAAGCTCATCCAGTTCCAACCCCTGCTGTGGGCAGGGACACCTTCCACTAGAGCAGGTTGCTCCAGGCCCCATCCAACCTGGCCCTGAACAGTACCAGGGATGGGGCAGCCACAGCTTCTCTGGGCAACCTGTGCCAGTGCCCGACCTCGGTCACACCAACTGAGGAAAGTACAAAGAGAAGCAGAGAGGACAGAAAGAAACTGATTTGAACAGCAATCTGTAGAAGTTTCTTCCACTTAATATCCAGAGAATATTCTGACAGCACAGCACCTGCCTCTCAAATTAGAGGGTTTGGTCAGGGTGCTTCAGGCATGTACCGACAAAGCACAGCAAGGGAGTCTCTTGGCTTCTTGTCCGGTTAGAAAAGTGCAGCTTCAGTAACAGAGAGTGTTGGTGAATCCTATTCCTGTCCTGCACTCTAACATTACCCCATAGTGCTGTTTCAACATCTTTACAAGTATTCCAGCCCTTATGCTTTGAAAAATGAATAGAGCTGCCTTGGAAGACCCTACTGGCTTTGTGTGCTTCAGTTACAAATTCCATACAGTATGAGCACCACAGACAGCCATCAGGTCTGACAGCACTGGCTGGAGGTCACCACAGGACCTGTCCCTGTATGGGGTTGGCTTCACCCTTAAGAGGACAAGTAGAGGTGTCCAGCAGACATTCTGCATAGTCAGGAGGTGAAAATAATTTCTATAAAAAACAGAGGCAAACCCTTATATTTTTAAGA